TTTTCACTCCAAAAACCGTCCAGTCATTTTAGTTTCGAAAAACTTTTGAGGAGCTATTTCATATTCACGCATATGCTTATTTCTGACCCGGCTACTAAATGGTAAATAAGATTTTAGAAAGAGAGATTTTTTTGGACCAAGAATGAAAAGCAAAAGCCGTGCTGCTTTGGTTTCAAAACCAAACCTTGCTCCAACCTACAGGATCTTCAGATACTGAAAGAACAAAGATGCATAGCCAGCGACCAAAGTTTTTTTGGATGAAAAGTAATCCAAATATGCACAAAGAATGGATGACGAATGCATGACGTTTGCCAACACACCAGCAAACAAATATCAACGGTGGATTAAAAACAGAAATTGAAAAAAGAAGAAAAGACTTCGTATGATATTTGAAAAGTCTGAAAATGATGCATTGCAATACAGTAGCATAAAGCGATGTTTTCGTGAAGTAAGCTTCACGTAGCATCCGCAGAGATGAGCAAACTTCGTGAAAATTGCTATTATTTTGCTACGTAATGACCCTGATATTCGGAATTTTGCCTAAAATTCTGACAGAAATCATACGCATAAACTTTCACTGCAGGAAGGGAAAAAGTAGCTGCTTACTAAATTTTCAATCAGCCGCTGCCGACGAAAGAATTAGAGAAGAGCGAAGCAAACTACTGAACATCACATAAGTTTTAAAGCGAGACACGGGTTTCTATTAGCAGAACGAAAAGAAGCACGAGAAAGGAAATTCAAATAAGAAAAACTAGGAAGGCAGGTAAAGACAAGATCGGCTCTCAAAATGCATTCGTTTTCTCCATCTTACGTTACGTTCTGAAATAATTAAATGCCAAAAAGGCGGAAAAAATCTCAGAACATTAGGTATCTGTCCTTCAGGCGCCAACAGGCAAGCAGAAGAGCGTAAATTTTGATAATAATTGAATAAAAACAAGAAAAACAAAACAGGGAGAGGTAAAGGACCACAAAAAAGTGTTTCTCAAAAACACATTAAGTTCATTCTCTCTTCCGAATGATTGTTGATATTTTAAAGCAATGCCAGCTGCTAATGTCATATAATAAAACGTGCTAT